CTGACACAAGAACAGAAAACCAAACACCACATGTTCTCACTCATAAGTGGTTGTTGAACAATGAGAACACATGGACACAGGGAGGGGAACATCACACACTGGGGCCTGTCGTGGGGGAGAGGGATAAGGGAGGAATGGCAGAGGGTTGGGGTACAGAAGAGGGATAGCATTAGGAGAAATAATCTAATGTAGATGATGGGGTGATGGATGCAGCAAACCACCATGGCACTATGTAACAAACCTGCACATTCTGCACATGTACCCCAGAACTTAAAATATAATTTTTAAAAAAAAGGATAGAGGAATATTAGTAATAACTGTGTGCCAATCAGTTTAACCACTCAGTTTAAAATTCCCTGAAAGATACAATCTACCAAAGCTCACTCATGAAGAAATAGATAACAGGAATGGCCTTCATCTGTTTAAAAAAAAAAAAAAAAAATCAATGTATAGTTAAAACCTTCCCAGAAAGAAAAATTCAAGTACAGATGGCTTCAATGGCAAATTCAACAAAATATTTCAGAAGAAAACAGAACTGAAAAAAATAAAAATAAAAACAACATATTTAAGGAAGAAATAATACCAATTCTACACAAACTTTTCCAGAAAACACAGGAAGAGAGAACATTTCCCAACTTATGCTGAGGCCAGCATGAACATATACAAAAACTAGACAAAGACATTATGAGTAGAACAGCACAGGCCAGTATACCTCATGAACGCAGACACAAAATTTTTAACAAAAATGTTAGCAATTCAAAGGTAACAACAAGTGAGGTATATATCATATGACCAAGTGAGGTATTATTGTTTCTCCCCTATTATAGCATCTGAGGATAGGATCAATGATCAATGAATTCTCTTTGACTAAAATTAACTTACGGGATAGCATCTTCAACACTGAAAGACTTTCCCCTACATAACCGAAGCACATAAGATAGAGAAAAGGCCTCCTCTGACTCACTAGGAGAAGCAGATAGACTCATGGTGGCCCCAAATGCCCACCTCCCAGTAGTGATGCCCTTGTGTAACCCCTCTACTGTGTCTTAGTCTGTTTGAACTGATCTAACAGAGTACCATAGACTGGATGACTTAAACAACAAACATTCATCCTTCACAGTTCTGGAGGCTGGGGAGACCCAAATCCAGGCATCAGTCAATTGGGTGTCTAGTGAGAGCCTACTTACTGGTTCCCAGGCGGCCATCTCCTTCCTGTGTCTTCATGCGGTAGAAAGAAACAAGAGAGCTCTCTGGGGTCTCTTTTATAAGAGCACTAATCCCATTTTTGAGAGCTCCACTCTCATGACCTTTACCTCCCACAGGCCCCACCTCCCAATTACCTCATCTTGGGGTTAGGATTTCCACACACAAAATTTGTGGGGATGCAAACATTCAGTCTGTTTCACCCTGAGTGTAGATGTTACTTCCCACTTGCTTCTAACAGAGTTCAGCAAAGGTCACAGTGTGTGTGTGATTACATATATGTGTGTATGGGGCAGAGGTCCTGCTGAGTCTCTGGCATCGTTGCTGGCTGTAAGGAAGTGAACAGCCAACTTGGAGAAGCCCACATGGCAAGGAACTGTGGGTGTCTTCTTGGAGTGGAGGGCAGCCTCCAGCCTCCTGCATGTGAGAAACTGAAGCCCTCAGTCCTACAACCTCAAGAAATCAAACTGCCAAAAAGTGGATGCATTTACAAGCAAACCTTTCCCCCACTGGGCCGCCAAATGAGAATCCAGCCCAGATGAAACCTTGACTATAGAGGACTCAGCTAAGCCATGACCAGAGTTCTGACCAAAAGAAACTATGAGATGATAAATTATGTTGTTCTTCATCCTGTTGTTATAAAATCTGGACATGGCAATGTTGTTACCAATAGATAGCAATAGATCAGTCATACTAAGTCTGTGTATTTATGAGAGGGAGAGGAGGAGAAGCAAAGAAATAGGAAATGCATTTGACATTCTAACAGCATTTTCTACATCTAAACACAACAGTTTACTATCAGTTGCAAGATTAAAATAAACAGAGGTAGAGGGAATTAAATTATTTCTTTTAGCTTTTCATTGGCTGAAAGAGGAAAGGAAAATGAAACATATTTAAGTAGCTTACTTTACATTGTGCCATATAGAACAAATCTCACAAAATAAGTGCAAATGAAAACTGGAGGCCAGGTGCGGTGGCTCATGCCTATAATCCCAGAACTGTGGGAGGCTGAGGCAGGCGGATCACTTGAGGTGAGGAGTTTGAGACCAGTGTGGACAACATGGCAGAAACCCTGTCTCTACTAAAAATACAAAAACGAGCCAGGTGTGATGGCACGCACCTGTAATCCCAGCTGCTCGGGAGGCTGAGGCACAAGAATCACTTGAGCCTGGGAGGCAAAGGTTGCAGTGAGCCAGGACTGTGCCACTGGACTCTAGCCTGGGCAACAGAGCAAGGCTCTGTCTCAAAAAAAAAAAAAAAAAAAGTAAAGAAAAATGGTCTAATAACTTTTCATTTACTTTCATAGAATGTTTTATTCTGCTTTTCAATAATGAGCACATTAGCATTGTGGAATTGGAACTACTTCATTAAAATGCAAGCAAAGCTTCCTAATCATCGTCACTGACCACCTCTCAGGGAGGAATCAGAGCACGCTGGAGAAACGCCTACTCTCATTTTCCTCAATGAGTCCAAAGAGAAGGACATTCAATCATACCACCTCTGGGCATTCTGCAATGCCACATTCAGTCAGCGGTTTCTGTTACAACTGCAGGAATGAGCTCCTACATCTTTTTTAAAGCTATTTACCAATGCCAGCATATCCTCTCTTCCAGTTCCCAATAATTAACAAAATAGGGTTTCTGTGAGGTACAGAAGCAGTTAGGGTCTACGTATTTCCATTTTTTGTGAATATAATCTTGAAGCCTTGAAATGATCTTGAAACCTAGCCCAGGGAAATCATCACCCTCAGAAATTCTGTTTTCAACCTTGATATATTTTGCAAATAAATAATTGGGATAACATGGGCCATTAATGTGATCTCTACTCTCTCATGTTTTCACAGGGGTGGGTGTATGAATGGGTAGGTGTGTGTGTGTGTGTGTGTGTGTGTGTGTGTGTATTCAATTTTTTGCTTATGGCCCTATAAATTAGATCACACAGGAAGCCATCTGAAATCAGGATGCAGTCTCTGAAAAGAATGATGTTTAGTGTTTGTGTTGTGGACCAAGAAAGTCAGCATAAAATGAATGATTTTATGCGTTGAATGGTTATGCAAAACGAGAAAGAAGAAGTAAAATTTTCATAATTCTTAAAATCTTAAAAAAAAATATGTCAAATATTTTGAATTTGTCTATCACATACATAGTTAGTATATGAAAGCCCCTTATGGTATACATACAATACCTCAGAATAATTTCACACGCTGTTTACATTTATGTTTCACCTAAAATTAATATAACCAAAATAAACATTTAAATATTTAAGAAAAGTTGTTGGCCTTCAGAAAACGCAGATAAGCCCAGGCGTGGTGGCTCACACCTGTAATCCCAGCACTTTGGGAGGCTGAAGTGGGCAGATCATTTGAGGTCAGGAGTTTGAGAACAGCCTGGCCAACATGGTGAAACCCTGTCTCTACTAAAAATACAAAAATTTGCCAGGCGCAGTGGCTTACACCTGCAGTCCCAGCTACTCGGGAGGTGAGGCACGAGAATTGCTTGAACCTGGCGGGTGGAGGCTGCAGTGAGCTGAGGTCGTGCCACTGTACTCCAGCCTTGGCAACAGAGTAAGACTCAGTCTCAAAAAAAAAAAAGGAAAGAAAATTTACATAAAATCTTACACATCTATGAGAGTCTAGCACAGGGATAATGGGTGATAGGGAAGTGCTATGTGTGGGCCACCTCACTCTATAAAAATTTCAGGAGAAATTGAAAGTAATGTTTCTTTTTCTTTCAACAAATTTCCTTTAAACAAATTCAGTTACATATAAAGTAGGTTCATTCCCATTATAAATAAAGTAAGTAAACAAACACTAAGCACAATCTAGAAATTTGAAGACATTACTAACAAGTTTACAACAATTTAAGAAAGTATTTATAAGGATTATCCCCATCATTATTTGAGTAGTTTCTCTCTATATTAATAAGCATGTGTGTACCGGAAAGAGAAAGAGTAAATATTAGAGCAGCAAGTGAAATGAAAATGAGCTTGAAAGCAGAGACTGCGGAGTGTCAGTGTGTGAGGTCCTGCAGAAATTACCATATTTCTTTGCCACAAAGGATTGACCATGTGGATGATAGGACACTTTAAAGGATTGACCGTGTGAATGATAAGACACTTTAAAGGATTGACCGTGTGAATGATAAGTAGAACTATTTTTATCTTTCTTTCTTTTCCGAGACATAGTCTCGTTCTGTCGCCCTAGCTGGAGTATGCCAAGGCTGGCGTGCAATGGCACGCGGCTCACTGCATCCTGGGTTCCACCGACTCTGCCACTTCAGCCTCTCAAGTAGCTGAGATTACAGGTATGTGCCACCATGCCCAGCTAAGTTTTGTATTTTTAGTAAAGATGGGGTTTCACCATGTTGCTCAGGCTGGACTCAAACTCCTGGGCTCAAGTGATCCACACGCCTCAACCCCCCAAAGTGCTGGGATCACCGGAGTGAGCCTCCACGCCTGGCAAGAAGTCTTAATTTTTTATGTTTGGGACTTCCTCCCCTTTTCTGCAGCTTTCTGTGTCACTGCCCACCACCTGCAGCACAGGGTCCTCCAGAAGAAACAATAAAGGAGAATGAAGGCCTTCAGGAACGAAGGCCTGTCCAGGGCTTGTAAACTTCACAACAGTCCCAGAAGGTAGTAATGGAATATTCAACCTTCCTACAGAGCCCAGCCTCTCTGATACGAATGAAGAACACTGACAAGGTAGCAACAACAGAAAGAAACACAACAGCCATGCAGGAGAACAGGGAACATCAAGACAGCCAATCTGGTGGCTCTATGCCCACCTTTGATTTGCTTACCTTTTCCTGAAGCCTGATATTATCCCACACGTTGGTGCACACCATACACTCAAATGCATCGATGTAATTGTCCTGGTTGACATCTTGCACTCCCCATTTCCGTTCCCTAAGAGCTGTCAGAAGTCGCTGGTTAGAGATCTCACCCTTCAGCTTCCATTCTACATAGGCCTCATACAATCTGTCATCAGAATCCAGTTGTCTGATGTAACTTGCCAGTTCCCTGGGGTGAGAAAATTCTGATACAAGAATAGCACTTTTGTTACTCGGAAGCCAGTCTGCGATGCTGGGGGATCCGTAATATACAGGGACTACCCCCAGTTTCAGTGGCCTCCAGAACTTCTCAGTGATGTAGTCATCACAAACTGCATTCTCAAAAGCCAGGATAAACTTATACTGTGCAATGATCCTATGAAAGCCATCGGCATCCATAGAGGCTGGATTTTTCAGCTGCTGAGGGAGATCTTTGTTTCGTAAACATTCACCATAGGAATCGACCTCGATGTAAGTCATCAGCTCGTGAACATAGCTGTCCCTGTCTGACGGTGGGTCACAGTCTGACTGCACATACACCAGCGGAGCAAGGCTTTTTCTAAGCTTGTTTTTGGACTGCAAAGGAACCAGGTATCGGAGTGACTTCAGGACTTCAATGCCCTCCAAGTATTGGGTAGTTAGTGGCAAGTGGGAATGCCTGCTGAACGTGGCAGTGTAGTTAAACAAGGTGATGACCGGTTTATGAAAAAGCTTGTAATTGTTTTTCGGAGACTCTTCGTGAAAAAGAGCCCAGTCATGATGGGCTTTACGAGGCAGAGGTAAGCTATCTATGTTAAAGTCAGTACCTAGGAGAAGAAAATAAGATATTCATTAGTATTTCCAAAAGATTATTGGCGCCTGCGTTTGGGTCTACCTGATAAGATTAGGATATAGAGGAGTCTGAGGCTATGAAGAAAAAGCATGTGGCCAGGTGCAGTGTCTCATGCCTATAATCCCAGAACTTTGGGAGGCCAAGGCAGATGAATCACTTGAGGTCAGGAGTTCGAGACTAGCCTGGCCAATATGATGAAACCTTGTCTCTACTAAAAATACAACAATTAGCTAGGTGTGGTGGTACATGCCTGTAATCCGAGCTACTTGGGAGGCTGAGGCATGAGAACCACTAGAACCTGGAAGGCAAAGATTGAATCACTGCACTCCAGTCTGGGCAACAGAGCAAGAATCTCTCTCTCAATCTCTGTGTATGCATATATGTGTGCATATATACATATACATATATACACACACACATACATATATATACACATATACACACACACAAATATATATATATATGTGGAGACCCCAATCAGGAAGAACTTATTTCAATAACTGAGAAAGAAGAACTAAGACAATAACACAACAGGTAATACACAATTTCTTAAGTATTCCTGACATGGATGATGTTGCAGACACTTGAGTTTATATATAGAAAGAGAGCATGTTACAGTGTCACTGCAAAGCGCCTGGCAGTCAGTCACAAGGCTTTCACCCCAGAAACTACTCAGGGAGGGGATCACCAAAGAGGGGGACTATCATTTCTCATATTATGAAAAAGGAAATGGGAGTCATGTCTGGCCAGGTTCTAAAGGAGAATTTATTCCACTGCCTCCTGCAATCGGCTTTTCTTCTCTACAAGAAGACAGAAGAAATAAAGAGATAAAGATAGTCCTTTAAAAAGAAAAGAGGAGGAGAAAGAAAGCCAAAAAAGGAAAGCAACCAGGTTGGCAGGTTGATTAATTGCAAAAAAAAAAAAAAAAAAGTGAAATCATGCAAAAGTAGCCAGAAGAAATATACAGGATAGATTTTTTAAATCAAAAATGATCGATTTCAGCAAAGTGCAGTTAATCAATCTTAGTCAAAATGGTAGACAAGAGGCTTTTAAAGACGAAAGAGCTGATAATAGCACTATGTTACAGACCACTGCAGGACGGACAGGAATTAACAAGCACATCGAGAAATAAAGAAGGCCTAACAGGATTACAATTATGAGTGACCCTAGCTTCCACAGGATTAATTGAAAAACCTCTGAAACATGATGATGTGCAGACAGAAGTGATGGATGTGGTAAGCGATTGTTTCCTGACTGTGTGGGTGGAGATCCAATGAGGGAGAACTTATTTCAATAACTGAGAAAGAAGACCTAAGACAATAACACAATAGGCAATAGACAATTTCTGAAGTATTCCTGACATGGATGATTTTGTAGACCCTTGAGTTTTTAAAAAATAAATGTAAGGAAATAAGGGGAAATCCATCTTCCAATACCCACCAGAAAAGAAAATACCAAATATATACTTACGCCAAAACAAGACTTTATCAACGTTTTCTGGCAGAGCTCATAAAAATTAATTATTTAATGCTAGTGTGCACTCCCACAAATAAACTCTTTGGTGCCAACATACATCAATGAGAAATCAATTAATTAATCAAGAAAGCCTTTTAAACAAAGATCAGATAAGAGTATGTCAGAGGACATATACTAAGCACAGAGATATTGCTGAAGAAATTGCCTCTGTTTTGATAATAGACTTTGATTCTCAATCATCGGCAATGAATTACTAACATGTAAAAATGGGCTTATCCTTGTTTATTGGCATTTGCTATATTGACCTTAGGCTTCAAAAAGAATACTCATCCATACACCTGAAACCTAATGGCATATAGAGTTGGATGGCTGGCAGAGGTTAGTAATCATTAAGATAGAGAAACATGAGGATATGAAAGAGAATGTAAGAAGAAAGGCAACTGACTGCATCGAAGTACAATAGTTGCTGCTCAAAAAGGGTCGAAGCTGGTCCAGTGGCCAATGATAGAAACCAGAACCTAGAAAACTGAGGAGAAGCAGAAAGTTGCCACCTATGGCATAATAGACAATTAAGGCCATTTACCTGGGAGGGAAAGTACTAGAGTCCAATCCACAGGAAGCAGAAGGACCCAAGGTATGAGATTAGAGATAAAAGAGGATATGATTAAAACAAAAGTGAGTCCAGAATTAACTGGACGGATCAGGCACAGGGGTTTTGAGTGAGTGACTCAAACACAAGTCACTGTCTGCTGCTGCCTGCTAGGAGGCACATGGAAGATTCTTAACCTGGCTCAGCAGGTGTGCACTTCAGCGAAGAGCCTGGATGCAGAGCTGGGAAGCAGAAAGACACAAAGCCTGCCTCAGAGGCTTCAGAGAATGGACAGGGCTCAAGTCCCACCTCTGCTGGTCTACATCAGGAAAGAGGAGGAGGAGCTAAAGGCTCCTCCTTTTTGTGGCCACTATGTAGGTCCATTAAGGCTGTGCTAGTAATAGGAACAGGACCTATCCAAACCTGCACTAGGTATAATAAGGCCATCACTCATGACAGTTAGGAGACGCAGGCTTTCAGGCTCACTTATAGCTGTGCTGCCATGAGAATCTCCATGTGGGAAGGAAGGGTAAAGGAGGCTGAGACCCCTCATGCGTACAATCTATAGCGGCCAAAAATGCCTGCAGAATCTATTCATATGCATGCACGAAGAAGCAACATACCATTTTAAAAATGAAAATGAGACAGTCTTGTGCATTCATCTGAATGATGTTTAGTCTGCAGGGTGCAGCTGCCTTTAACAGTGGGAGATGCTTCTTAAAAGAGAGGAAAGTTAAAGGGACCTAGCATTCCAAAAATATTTTCCATGTTTGCTATCTATATATAAAAGCATTTCGTGGTAACTTCCCTGAGATATATCCACACAAAACATAACCACACATGCATGTGCAGGTGCACGATCATGCTAACATAGGTTTTCTGTTAGATTGTTAGAGTCTTTCAAATTAAACTTCTCTGGAGAAGATTAAAAATATGTCATTTGGGCCAGGCACAATGGCTCACACCTATAATCCCAGCACTTTGAGAGTCCGAGGCAGGTGGATTACTTGAGGTCAGGGGTTTGAGATCAGCTTGGCCAACATGGTGAAACCTCGTCTCACTAAAAATACAAAAATTAGCCACACATGGCGGTACATGGCTGTAATCCCAGCTACTCGGGAGGCTGAGGCAGAAGAATCGCATGAACCTGGGAGGCAGAGGTTGCAGTTAGCCAAGATCGCGCTACTGAATTCCAGCCTGAGTGACAGAGCAAGACTCTGTCTCAAAAAACAAACAAACGAAAACACCAAAAATATGTCATTCTCTCCCAAGCCTAGAGCTTCGGATGGTAAATGCTGAAGAATACTGAAATTAGAACCATGACCTATCTGGCCAGGCATGATGGCTCCCAGCACTTTGGGGGACCAAGGTGGTGGATCACTTGAGGTCAGGACTTTGAGACCAGCCTGGCCAACATGATGAAACACTGTCTCTACTAAAAATATGAAAATTAGCTGGGCGTGGCAGCACACACCTATAATCCTAGCTACTCAGGAGGCTAAGGCAAGAGAATCACCTGAACTTGGGAGGCAGAGGTTGCAGTGAGCTGAGATTACACCACTGCACTCCAGCCTGGGCGACAGAGTGAGACTCTTCCTCAAAAACAAAACAAAAAAAGAACCATGACCAAGGTAAACTACTTCAGTGGGGATATGCCGGCCTAGAACATAAATGTCAATACTAAGCGATTTCTAAAAGGTATTGGATGTGGCTCAGAAACAAACTGAGTTATTCACCTCTCCCGGACTCCAGCACAATGCCTACTATAACAGGAGTTGGAACTGGAGTCTATGGAGAAATGGAAATCAATTCACATATGGTAAATCCATTAAAATGTGACTAACTTACATGCAACTGGCTCACTAGTTTTCTGGTCATGTTCACTGCTTTTACATTTAACAACTTCAGATTCAAACTTTCATTCCTCTGGGTTATTTCGTGTTTACTGAATTCTGACAAATGTATTCGTTCCTTTAAACAACAGCTAAATAGATCTTTAGCACTAATGTGCACTGTGAAGGGAATTGCAACTTGAAATACAAATGGAATAAAATGAATGCTGGCACAGGGTGCCAGATTGCCAACGAGGGAGACTGGATCTGAAATAGCAGAGAAGCCTGAGAGCGACATACTTTCTGGGACGTGTTTATGTGCCCCTCTCCTTCTGCAGGGGCATGTCCCCTTCTATCATTACTCCCACACAAACTGGTGAAAACAGAAGGCAACGTATATTATTAACCTCACTTTACTAACGAAGAGTAAATCACTCATCTAGAGCTGAAAACCCCAGGTGGGGACAAGAACGTCAGACCAGCAAATCAGAAAAGACCGGAGGGATGATTGGCCCTGCTGCAATGTTGATTCCCTGGAACGAGTAACTGACTCTTGGTACTTGCAAGTACCCCCACAGAAATGTTAGCCAGCTTTAGCACGCTAATGATGCGGAAAGCCCAGCCTGCCTTGATTTGGAAACTAGAAGTGTTCCTGCAGAACGCTCTCCAAAGGCAATCTGCTTTTAAAAATAATCTCTACCATAAAATTGTGTGTCCTTTTGGGAGGCTGAGGCAGGAGGATTGCTTGAGCCCAGGAGTTCAAGGCCAACCTGGGCAACACAGTGAGACCCTGTCCACAAATTTTTTCTTTTTAAACTAGCTGGATGTGATGTGCATGCCTAGAGTTCCAGATCCTCAGGAGGCTGAGGTAGGAGGATCATTTGATCCACTGCACTCCAGCCTGGGTGACAGAACGTGATCTTGTCTCAAAAAAATACAAATAAAAAAAATTACCATTATTTTCTGCCAAAGGTGGTGATTCTTCTTGAGACCTGGAATGGTGTAAAAAGGAAGAAAGAGAGGATTCTCCCTTGCTTGCTGGCCAATCTTCACATAATCCCTCAAACCTTCCTGTCC